GGCAGTTATTGACTTCCCATTCAATACCCTACGCCGTCAGCTGGTTCGAAACTGCCTCTCCGATCGCTCGTGCAGCTCAGAAAATTGTGTAATCCGCTTTAACGGCAGAGACAGGGATTTCATGAGCTCAGGTACAATATAATTGATCTCATGTAAGACAAGCGGTGAGGAATTTGTTGGGGAAACGGATATATCGCATTGTGTCCGCATAAAAGAACATTTAAGTGGGAAAGTTAAACATCGTCAAGCACTCCTCTAGGTACGCATAGGGCATAAATGTTTTGAAGTGACTGTTCGGATCCTAGCGTAAGAATCAAAAACATAAATGTGAGGACTCTTGAGATGTTTTGGACAAATTTCAGAAATCCAAAGCCATACCGGAAAGATGAATGCCTCACTATCGCACGTGATCTGGCGCCTTATTTCAATATGATTTAGACCTGGACGGGTCTCGCTCGTCAACCCATGCGAACAACTAGTGGGCAGCTCCACTCGTAACAGTACGGTGAGTAGTCTTCTTGATAAATATGGCGTTTGTTTATATGTTTGATCTTCACTGATACTGTAGATATTTCACTACATGTAAGGGTACTGCTACATAAAATACCTCCAGGCTCCGCGGAAGGGGAAATCGCCGAAACTTTAGCCATAGTCCAACAACACCTACAATAATTCCTGAGGGATGCGCCATGCATTCGACTTCATTAAGCATCGTTGGAGGTGATTGAATGGATGTCTGGCCTTTACAATGACTCTCGATGGCCTACTGATGTACCAAGCCAGTGTTGCTATCCTCTCAGACAAGTCCGGTACCAATTTTCCGACAACGGAGAGATGGAGGGCTTCATGGGCCATGGGAGGAAATCCATTCCACGTGTGTCGCATTGGCGCCTCCAACCACTGCGCCACAAGCGCACTCATAAGGACATATAAATAAATATATCAACTATTTATACCGAGGCTTATAGAAGGTCGATCTCTTTAATTATTTCAGCGTACCTGTAACCGCTGCCTTATGCGCACGATTAGTAATTAACGGTACTAGTGAGAGAGGGAACGATTTAATAAACATATTTACACTCTGAAAGTGTTAATTTTCGTCTTTTCACATCCTTACTTAACCGTTTTTAGTCTTCAGTTCGCATTTTTAACTAAATAGTATTCATTAAGCAAATACAATATAAATATGGCAACTATAATACAAACAATAAATAATATGATACGGAATCACCTGTGTCACCTGCAGTGCCGTTGATCGTCGAGTGACTCGAGCGGTCACCAGCAAAACTTCCATTTTTTCCTGTCGTGTGCAAGAGTAGCCTATTGGGTTCTGTTTGCTCTAAGGACTCGTTCAACATCATATACTTCTTCTAGGCACTTTGTGAAGAACTCTGAGCATCGGGTCGGTGGTCTTCCTGCAGTACGTTTGACATCCCAAGGGATCCAGTCGCTAACGGCCCTTGTCCATTGGTCGTCGTTCATACGTATTACGTGACCGGCCCACCTCATCTTCGACTGTTTGACGTACAGAACGGCATCTGTGATTTTTGATCGTTGACGCAGATGGGAGCTTCGGATCCCATCCCTTACTTGTGTGGAGCGGGATACTCCAAGCATCGTCCTTTCGACTGCGCGTTCGATAACGTTGAGTGATGTTTCACCCTGCTCGCGCAGCGACCAGGTTTCTGACGCATATGTTAGGGCAGGAAGTACCGTTGAGTCGAAAAGGTGGGCACAGAGTAGGATGTTCTTTTTTCTCTTCACTACATTCTCCATGCTCTTGAAAGCTCCCCAAGCCGATCGTTCCCTTCTGCTCAGCTCTGGAGCTAGGTTATGCATCATATTGATTTCCAGACCTAGATAGACATAATTGGTGCATTCGTGTATATTCGTTCCATTGAGCGTGAATGGGGCATACGAAACCAATCCTTTCCCTATGAACATCGTTTTTGTGAGCTTCAGTCGAAGACCAATCTTTCCACAGGCTCTATCAAAGTCGGCAAGCATACGTTCAACTTGGCTAATGTTTCGTGTTTTAAGGACGATGTCATCAGCAAAGTGAAGATGGCATAACTGCCGACCATCGAATTTCACTCCCATATTATCCCACTCCAATATTCGATTGACGTTCTGAAAGGTGGCGGTAAATAATTTTGACGAAATAGTATCGCCTTGCCTAAATCCTCTTTTGATGTCAACGTTAATATCGTTGTAGAATGGTGATATCTTAGTTGTGAAATTTTTGTACAGCTCATGAAGAATCTTTATGTACTGAGTAGGAACTTCTTGACTATCAAGGGCTTCCATGATTACTCCTGTCTCAATTGAATGAAAGGCCATCTGTAAATTGATGAAAGTGAGACAGAGCGGTCTTTTGTACTCTCGTGATATTCAATGAGCCTCGTTATCGTGTTGATGTGGTCCATCATACTAAATCCTTTTCGAAACCCTGATTGCTCACATGGCTGTCATTCGTCCAGTGTTCTGTCAATCCTGTTTAGGATGGCTCGAGTGAAAAGTTTCTAGAGGGTAGACAGCAGGCAGGTTGGGCGACAATTGCCGTTATCGTGGAGGTCACCCTTCTTGAACAATAACACTATTTTGCTGGTTTTCCATTGAATGGAAACCTTGCGCTCGGGCAAACGTGTGAAGAGCCGAGCCAGTGTGTTATGTGGACCAGCGGAGTGTTCTTCAGGTACTCAGATCTTATCCTGTCCGGACCTCGTGCCGATCGATTTTTCACCGACGAAATGGCATGTCGGATTTCGGAAGGGAGAACCGGTTGTCCAACATATCCATCCTCCTTTATTTCATATGACGGAAGGAGAACGTGGCTATCGAAGAGATCCGAGTAGTGTTTGTGATTGATTTTCTCCATTGCCTTCCTGGACGCTGTAACTGTTCCGTCTGGGCGTCGGAGTGCAATCTTCTTGGTCTTGTAATTGGCAAAGTTTTGGTGGGCGATTTGCTAACGCTCTTCCCAGACTCTGCAGCTTCGACCATTATTGCTGCTCTTCTCCCTTGAAGATCTTTCATTATCGCCTACCTTCATTGTTTTGCAAGTTCGGACCTTAGTTCGCGTTTGCCTGAAGCTCGTGCAATTCCACGCTAGCTTACCAGCTACAGTGTGCCTGGAGAAGACGTCTCTTAGTGACGTTCGAACTCTCAGCTTTCATAGAGCTAACGTGAAGATGTTGAATGAGCCGATCGTATTCTTTGTCGATGTTATGACAACGGCATCTTCCCAACAGCCAGCTAATGGTTCTGGGGCTTCGGTTTTTGAATTTAGCGGCTTTTTCTTCTTTCCGTGAGAAATAGAATCTTGCATGAAGGAGGCGTTGCTCGGATCCGGTGTAGAATTTTGGGACAGCGACAAGCGACATCGGTTAGGCAAAACCTTCGGCTTACTATAACGTGGTGTATTTCGTTATGGTACTCTCCATTGGGAGACTCCCACGTCCAGCGTTGAGGGTGGTGCTTTTGGAATAGCGAGTTACCATGGATGGTCTTGCTCGTCATGATAAACTGGGACAGCTGCTCACCCTGTTCGTTCCATTCTAATCCGTGGGTCCCAATGTGACGTTCTTCAGACGTTCTTCTTGGTCCAGTCATGGCTTTAAAATATCCAATGATAACCTTGAAGAATGCGTGGTCTTCTCTGTAGAACTTCTCCAAGTCCATATAGAACGTCTGTAGATCTTCTTCGTCATAGTTTGATGTTTGGGCGTAAACGACGGAGATTGTCAAAGCCGGAATTGATCCACGTCTTTTTAAGCGTAAACGTTCGATTCGGATTGTAAGTTGTTCGCATGAATCATGTTCATGGATAAACTCGTGTTGACGAGAACGCCGACGCCGCCGATCCCTCCACTGTCGCATGTTCTGAGGAGCAGTTCTTCTCCGGTTTCATATACGGCATTCAAAGGCTGGCGTCTTCTCGTCTTGGCCAGGCCTATGACGTCGTTCCTTATCCTTCTTGGTCTTCTATCGTGGACTCGGATGCAAGTGTACGTGCATTGTAGGTACAGATCGTCACCTTAGTTCTTCGTGATCCAGGATGCTTCCATTGGCCCTGAGATCTTAGTAGTCTCTCCGTACTCGTCCTGCCCAACGCTGCCAAATTGGGGCTCTTTCGAGGTCAAGGGAATGAGGCTCGTTCCTTTTAATGTTTTTGCTTTTTGATACCCACGATTGCTAGGCTCTAAACATGGGAGCTGAAGATACTCATGGGTAACTTGCCAGGCTCCACCAGAATGCACTTGAGTTTATTTGTTGCAGGGAACACCTAACCACCTCGCATATACTTCCCTGTCACTTGATTGCAGGCCTTTGGCCGAATTGACTTGTAGAATACAATCCATATAAGCAAGAACGCTCCCACACACGCATGCATGAACACGCCTAGGAAATACAGAATGTACGTGCCAAATCAGCGCAGCAGAAACAGAGGTCCATCACCTGGATCCACCTGCGTCTCAGGGAAGCAAAGGTCGCTTTTGGTCCGCGATTAACCTATGCTTCACCTGGGGATGCTTCACGTAGCCTCGCGAGTAGCTGTCTATCGGGATCCCTCATATGAGGGAGATCCGTGGATGATATAGTATAAAAACAACGATATAATAATATATAATGTAACAACATATATATCTATACATACATAATAATATGTGACGCAGTGGTCGAAGGAGCCCTGCAACACATGTGGAGACGATCCCGCGCCCATGGCCAGTCAAGCCTTCCATTCCTCTGGGGTCGTCAAATTGCTGCCAGATTTTTTCGCGAGGATAGTGGCATTGGCTCGATACATCGGTAGGCCACCGCAAGTCATTGTAAAATCAGATGTGGATTCAGTCATCCCCAACAATAATTAATGAAGTAGAATTGACGATGGAATGGCGCATCCCTCAGAAATTGATCAACGCCGAGAGTTTTTCAGTTTTATACAATAATATAAATATATTGAATAATAATATTGAATAATATCTGTTCACGAAATTAGGTTAAGCAGAATGAAGACTCACATGATTTCCTGAATTGTAGGCGTCATCTTCTAATACTGAGCCGAGCAAGAACCGACCACCAGATCTCAAGTGTTTCATCTGAATTGAGCTTTTGAAAACGCACAACTGAAATTTTCGTTTTGGAAATGTCCTTCACCACCAATGTTCAACTTCATCGACTTGATCAAGTTGCTGAGTTAACAGAGTTCTGATTTATTCCTAATCATCGAGCTGGTGTTAGATTCTTTGTCAGCACGTATTTTCCTCAAGTTCTCTAACAAAAAAGAAAAAAAAATCTCACAATATTCTTCACACATTGGCAGTATTGTGCATAGGTCTCACAAGCACTTTCGAGTGTGAAAATTGTCACGACGATATCCATCTGAAGACATGATGGTAGCCTTATGCCTGACATAAACTGCCAGCTTGAAGCCTACTCACTTTTTGGCCTTGAAGATCCGGTACGACCGGATCTTCATGCACATTAGCATACATTATTCCTCCACACTTCACCGCCATTCGAGCTTTAGTTTCAATTTTCTCCATTTCTTCCATAGTGAATGGAAAACCGCCTTCTGTTCTTAATTCAAAAAATTAGTTTTTCGATAAATTGATTTTGCTACGGTAACAATTACCGTTTAATGACCTTGATTGTCGGTTTCCAGTCATGAGTTGTAGTATTCTCACACCATTTCTTTAGCACTTCAAGATTTTTCGTCATGTAGTCCGACAGATAGACTCTTGTCACCGTGTCGCGAAAACACAAAGCACTATACACAGTCGGTCCTGAAAAGATATTTGTTAACTGTGCCGATAAATAAATTGAAAATAATGTCATCCCAATAAACGGACTTGCGGTTGGTTATCAAATATCTCACTTGGGTAGTTGGATGTCCCGTCGTCACTTGTCGTGCGGACTCCAGCATAATTTCCACTTTTTCGGAGTTTTTCTAGCTTAGCCATTTGTGATTCCCTGGAGTCCCAAGGTTAGTCTGGCCAAAGTCTGCCCCGGTTATCAGATATCGGTTCTGATATGTTAACACATAACGCCAGAAACTAGTTTTTCGAAAACTGAAGATGATTTCTCGATTACTGGAGTATTTCAAATGTTGATAAGCTTTCAGCTTGGTAGAAGAGATCCATGAATGGTACATACAATCTTTGTGCGGTCTATTTTGGTTCTAAATATGTTTAGAACAAAAACTCCCATGAAATTAAAGGAGAAATTTAAATTTGTAGATTTTTAACGCGAATGCAGCACCTCGCAAGCACCAAAGATAAGACATTGGTGAGAAATATGAGCCGCGAAACAAAAAAAAAAAGAAAGGAACCGTTTCTTGAGCTCCAGAGAATCAAAATTTCGTTTTAATAGAAGAAGGTTATTCGCTATGGCTTGATCTGACGCTGGTAATGATCAATATTAGCTGAGATACCTTAGTTTAACGTTGTAAGCAAAAATCCGTGTCGGGCGTTATGTGTTAACTAACCCAAGAAAATCACCTCACCTCACAGTTAGCCTAGAGCCTTTAGCTTAAACCTTCACTGGTAGACAGATTTAGAATGAACAAAGAAGAAATCAGTTAAGCTGAGGCTTAGTTATAATCACAATCTTAACCTTTTTATTTACTGCCTTTTTCTTTTTAATGGCAGGGTGTGTTGTGAAATATAACTCGTATGTAATGCTGAGATATTTGCAAAACAAGAAAAAGGCAGTAAATAAAAGGGTTAAGATTGTGATTATAACTAAGTCTCAGCTTAACTGGGTTCAATGCCGATTTGGGCTCCCCAGATCAATCCCGTTGACGGGTGATTGCTGATGGCAAAGGATCAATAGAACTTGCTGAGAGACAGGCAAAAAAGAAGAACCTGGATGGTGTGGTGGGGAAGTGCGTTACTCCCCGGTAAGGACAACATAGCGTGTTCGTTCCCCACCGCATACACCTGCGGTCCGAAGTTTTGCAAATATCTCAGCATTACATACGAGTTATATTTCACAACACACCCTGCCATTAAAAAGAAAAAGGCAGTAAATAAAAGGGTAAAGAAGAAATCTTCTTTAAACTTCCCTCTTTGAAAATTTTTTAGAAAATTACTAAAATTTGTTTATACCCCGCATTATAACATAACTAATATCTTACGTGGGCTTTGGTTTACTCAGACACCTTTAAAAACTCTATGGTTCAAAAAAGGAAAGCTCATCAGAGCTTAAAGTGTTTTACAGTTGTTAGTATTCGTGCCTATGCAGAAATCTAAGCAACAGGGAACGTCAAGAAGGGAAAGGGCGCCTAAGGCGGCGATTTTACTAGCTGTAGAAATTATAACTAGAATTCAGCGACTACTTCAAGTATTAACAGCAAAGAAAGCATGCTTTTCGATAAATCGCCGCGAAATTTCGCGCCTTCGATCAATACGCATGCTTTGCATTTTGTAGCATCGCTTGGACTCCTACCAAACTTTATACACCGACCTCTTCAAGCGTCGTTTCGTAAATGTTTCGGCTAACCTGCCCCAATATCGAGTAACGTTTCTCGTTCTTCAGGTTTCATGGATTCGAGGATAATGTGAGCAAAGACTGGCAGAGCGAACAGTGCAATCCGTGTGCCGTCTTCAATAGATTCCCTGCCAGTATCACAGTTTTTCAAACAAAATAAAATTGAGCCAATAAAAAACTACAAAAATGGCTAGAGTATGACGAAGCGATGAGCTTCGTTGGATATAAGTCACATAAAAGCCGTGAATTTTCTTCATTTACATTGAGTAAACAGAGAACAGAAAGGTATCGTCGAGAACTAATTCTTGGTTTTTTTATCTCTAATTCTTTCCGAAAATGTTATTGATAACAAAATTAACATATTTAAGAACACGTAGTTTCTCGATAACTGTCACCTTATTTTTGATAACCAGAGCCCTTGAGAGCTTGAGGATAAATGGAATTATTTGAGGGAACTTCCTTTTGTTGGATGAAAGCTGGAACTTTCATATTTCCGATTCTTACGTTAACATCAGAGAATCGATCCATGCAAAACGAGAGCGGTTGGACGAGATTTCGCTTGCTTAATCGATTTACTTCACTTTGGTTCGAAGTATGAGTCTCGCTGGAGGGAAAAGGAAAAACGAACTCGGAAAAAAATCAAATTTCACGATGGTAGAATAAGAAGAGTCCAATGAAGGATTAGGATGTGTAAATTCAAATGGGTTTTATGCCAATTAGTATTGTTCACTATGAGATGTGACACCATTGTACTAATCTGCGTCATCGTTGGAATGGCTTTACAGTACCTAAGTGGTTGTTGGTTCGATCGTGTACCTCATGCCAATCAAGACCTGAGTTTCTCTCATTCACTTTGACAAATTGAAGCCGGACTTATCTAGGAGGATAAAAGCAGATCCGATACATTCTAGATAAGTCAAACAAACAATGTTTTTGTGACTTTCCACAATCATGGAAAAGCATTGGTGGAGAAGGTCGAGAATAGCTATACTAGGAGTGAACCAGTACCAGAAATCACCATCGTCTTGGTTGCAACGCAGTTGGAAGGTGAAAAATTTTTTTCATATCCTGAAGGTGCGTCGTTGTTCTGTAATGACAACTCGAGGAAGTGCTAGCACGCCTATCTTGAAACACCACGAACAGAAGAAAAATGTTACTCGACAAGCCTTCGTGTGAACTGTGCTGGGTGAAGCACAATTCTCAGTAAAGGCGGACCATTGAACTACCCTATCAGTAATTTCCAAACCGACCGTTATTTAACCTCGGTAGTAATAATCAATACCTTCTAGGGTTGTTATTGTTTTCCCATTCACTATGTGCTAGCTAACATAACACCGAATGCTGCAGGATTGATTGTCCGTTAAAAAACAAAATTTTATCAAAACTAGTCGTATCAACAACAATCATCCTTTATAAAAAAGCGCTGCCGTATGAGCTTGCGCCATTCGTACGGTGTTCCTCTGAAGGAGATCCGTATCAGTACAACGGTGAGATCCCGCATCGATAGGACAAACAACTATGGACCATCGAATTGGATCACCGGTTCTGATAATGACGAAGATGTCGAGACGTTAGCTGAATAAATCTAGCTATCAACCTCATGTTAATCCAAGAAGGTATCCTATCAGCATCAAGTGAAGACTTGTCACTATATGCATCCGTACTAAATACTGTGTTTAATCTTGGGTCATACAAAGGATAAACGTTTGGGGTTGATCAATCCTTGACAGACGTGCCATGCATTCTACTTCATGAAGCATCGTTACAGGCGATCACATGTATACCCCAATGACTTTCGGTGGCCTACAGATGTACTTAGTCACGCTATCCTCCCAGAGAAGTAGGTACATATTTGTTAAACCCGAAGGGATGGAAAGATTTGGACGCGGAAAGCTTTATTGAGTCAACGATCACGAGTGTATTGCAGAGCACCTCTAACCACAGCGCCACACGCGTTTATAAGAGGTGTAGAAATCCATTCTCTAATAAATCGAATAGGCTTATCGAGTAACTTTGAATAGCTGGGTAGGTGCAAGGACTTTATTCCTTCTTTCTGCGAGCCGTAGCTGCTTAATGAAGCATGTGTTATCTCAGAAGACATGGAAAACATCACATGTTTTGTACGACGTTCTTCGTTTTTACTGCTTTTGACGAGAAAATACCCATGGTCACTTCGCCACAAGCTCTCTTAAAGTACGTATTAGACATGTTTTTTAAAGAGCACCTGAAGAAGTACTATATCAATAAAATAATTGCATTCTTTTAGGCAAATTGGTGTACAAAACAAATTCTGCATATATGGAGGACGCCCACTATATATAGTCAGCCTGGCCGAGCAATGATGAGCTGCCCATCAACATAATCTATACTTGTATTTCACTGAACGTACATGGGCGCATATGTTCTGCACTCAATGCTCTATCACTCGCTTAGGGACGCGCTACATAGCTCTACGAACAACCGGTTTGATATCCTCCATACTAGAGTGCTGCCTGATTCCGAATCACTAACGACGCTTTCTATCACGCCTAACGATCGCTGTAAAAACCAACTGTAAGGGTACGGTGCATAAACAGGTCCAGCAGACAAAGTCCTTTACACTGAAGATCCAAGGGTTCCTAGATAAACACAGATTTATTGCGATTCATGGGATTCTCATATTCAACTCAAGTCGAACAGGCGCATGCAGTGCAGTGGTTAGAGGTTCCGTGCAATACACTCGTGGCCATCTTTTCGATCATGCACCTGGGCTCACTAAGCTTTTATTTCCTTTAAGGTCGGAAAATTGTCACCAGAGTTGTCCGGGAGGA